AATATATCTCGTATTTAGTTTGAAAGATAAATTATGTATCATAGATTGCTTACATTCTAATTGCTATGGAATAATTATATGAATTAGTTGAATTTTATGAACTAAATAATGTGATACCAACAACAAAGTATATTAACATGATGTCAACTAATGGTGTAAATTTGACCATTATTATTTTCATAATGTAATTAATCACAATAACATGTACCATAAATGACATACAAATATTATTGTATTTAATTTTTAACTTATTTTATAATTTAGTTGAAGAGTTCAACTATTAAAAATGATAAATGAGTTGCGTTCACCCCGAGCTTGTAAACTAATTTGATAAAGCCAAATTCGACTCGATTCTACTCTACTCCAGTCATTTACAAACCAAATTACGGGCTATCATAGAATTGATGTTGAATCAATGTCCAGAGATCAGCGGAACTACCAACCTACCTAAAAGTGCCTAGAGACACATTACATATCCTTGTAATGTTAGGTGTCTGTATTGTTTATGAATGCCAATTACAGTTTACAGGCACAGCTATTCCGGAACTTTTGAAGAAATTGGCGGAAAGTTCAATTGTTTCTTTTTGTTTTGCCGCTCTAGCCTCTATGTATACGTTGACATTATTATATGCCAACACTTCAGGTAGACAATTGAAACATAGCAGCCAATGCCAATGCCACCAAAAAGCTGGGAAACTGGAATGTCTTCGAAATAATCGTTTGGCACGCAAGAACCGATGCAAAATTGTACACAAAATGAGGTGGTAGGGAACAGTGCCGCCTCATCCACAAGACGAAGAAGAAGAAGCAGAATAAGGCGGGTTTTTGTTAGTTTTACATCCAAAACAAATTTCTGCGGTCCAAAACAAATTAACTTATGATTAGTCGAAGTTGCGTTGTTTGCATAATTATCATCAAAAGTGTTTACTCATGATGGGTACATTTGATCAGCATTTCTCGTGCGCTCATATACCTGGCCAAAAAATCCGATATTTGGATATTGCCCGAACCCATTTTAGTTTAGGTTAAAGTTATATTAGACTGATTTTACTTTTAGGAGATTTCTATTCAATTTTTTTAGTTTGTATCTAAATTGGATATTATATTGAGTAAAAAAAATGGATACTGGATTATAATGCAACTTTTGCTTTATATTTTGTAATGAAACACGACGTTAAAGATGTAATTGGGCTAAAGCAAGGTTCTTTCATGGTTTATTTTTATGTACACAACTAAATAGTTAATCATAAATTGATTATTTAACCAATTAAAAAAATTCGTTCTTGATTAACTTCATATATGAAGATGTCTCTTTGTTTCATAGCTTGCAGTCGCAAGAGGTAAAATCAATACTAATTTCATTTGGGGAAACCGGAGGATGGCGGTAACGTGGAACCTTGAACGAGAATGGGGACGTGACCAACAATCGTGGAGCGGAGGGCAGAGAGATGTGAGGTAGGGGTTGGGAATTTTTCCCTCTCGATCCTCCACAAACAGAAAAGGAGGGGAAGAAATGCAAATTAAAAGGCCTTTTTTTTTTTTTTTGCCTAAATGCAAATTAAAAGGGTAAAAGGGATTAACATGCTTTTAGAGTTAGTGGATATGGATTTTTCATTTTTGTCCAATCAAAAAATGAAAAGTGATGATTGGTTCAACCTCTGCATTCTTCATGCCGTGTTTTGGTCAGTGTGGCTTCAGCGAAACCAAAGCATCTTTAAGAGCTCCCATTGTCCACCTAAAATGATTGCTCAGAAGGCTATTCGTGTGGTCATCTCATGGCTCTCAGCTCACTCCAAGATCGACAAAGACCTCGCCTCGGCTTGGATTGCGGATGTTATGTCTCGTCTCTGATTACTCGGCTTCTGTATTTTTCCTTGTCTTAGCGGAGACGGTCTCGTCCGTCGGGCTATTTTTTCTTTGTGTATTGGGCTGTTACTCGTTGGTGGAGGTTCTTCCTTTTCGCTTCTCCCTCTGTTTCATTTGTTTATCTCTGTTTGCTGGTTCAGGGTTCAGTTCTCCTGAACCTTGTTCTTCCTTTTTCCAATAAATAATAATATCGCCATTATAAAAAAAAAAAAAATGAAAAGTGATGCAAAAAATGTGTATGCAAATTACCGAATGAGTAATAAATAGTAGTATATTATCGTCCCACATATATCATTATAACTCAATATTTGATTAAAATTAAAGAAATGAAAAGAACAAAAGTGGTTTGTATAAATTAAATATAAAGAAATAACTAAACTAGAAAGCAAGTTGTAAATTACTTCAAGCAAAGTTACGGGAAGATCGCTCTAGGGATAAGAAACGCAAAATTTCCAATCTAATTACTTGACTCAACTCCTTTATTAATTAATTTAATTCTCATTCAAATGACCGAGATTATCTCTAAGGTGATAGTTATCTATTTGAATATTTAGTACATACTAACTGGCAAATTAATTATTCACTCTCATATAATAACCAGCTAAATAAACTACCAAGCATATCTCTTATATTTACATATTTTAATTAATTTATGAATACTAATTTCTTGTAATGTAATGCAGTGTCTCGATTACAATTATCGGAGGTGTCTCAAAGGTCCTGATGTCAATTTTTTACACCGATGAAACCTGAGTCTCACAAAAATGCCAGGAGAGGTGTTTTTGTTGACACACCTAGGGCCATCTTTAGGGATGGTCATTACATACCCATGAGTAATTTTGTCCAAATCCAAATAGACCCATTCAATATGAGTAGGGTATGGGTGAAGTGTATATCGGTTTGGGGGGTTATAGATGGGTTTGGGTAGGGTATAGATCTTACTTTCATAATCTAAATGGGTATTAGTTGGGTGTGGAAACTCATTTACATGATTGTGTTTTAACTGCACATACAAAAAATGGATCTATTTGTAAACCTTAAAATGTTTAGGTATTAAAATGTAATACCATAAAAATTTAGGTGCTAAAATGTAATTTTCCATTGATATTTGTGGACTTATATGCAAAAAAATAGGTACTAAATCTAAAGATCAATTAAGTGTAGGTACGAAACTGTAATTTACCAATGGATATGGGTACAAACTCAAATTCATGTATTAAAAATCCAACCCAGCCCAAATAAATGAGTATGGGTACTATCACGAACTAGTTGATCCCAATAACTCGAGTTGTTGGGAGAGGTTCAATCGTGGATCATATACCACAACACTAACACGCCCCCTCAAACGAAAGCCACTCACAAGGGCTTGAAGTTTGCACAGGTCTGAAGACAAGAATACCATGTGCTTAACAAATGGGGGTCACCGGGAATCGAACACAAGACCTCTCGGTTACAGAAGGCTCTGATACCATATCATGAACTAGTTGATCCCAATAACTCGAGTTGTTGGGAGAGGTTCAATCGTGGATCATATACCACAACACTAACAGGTACAAACCCATCAAACTCTACCCATTTACCATCTATTTGGATTTCATACCCAATCCAGTTGAGTTAAATAGTAAAATACCCATGTGAAAAATAGTCATCCCTAGTCATCTTCCCTTCAAGTAAAAGTGATTTGGAGTTAATAATATAATTTAACATATGAAATATATTGTATTGACATATGAAATATATTGTATTACCAAACCAAATAACGCTAAATTATATTAACCATGGAATACAATATCGTCACCAAACTGTCCAAACTAATACAACAACCAAATTAACCACACTAAAATTTAATCGGTTTGGTTAATTGGTTAACCAAAATAATCAATATAGCATCACATAATCATTGTGTGAGAAAATTTTCGGTTATTGCACTGTGCACCAATTCGCAATTTATATAACGAATAACACATAACAATCAACACATAATTTTAGTTAATCCTTAACATAAATACATGTAACTAATACAATTATCTTACATTTGACTTTTGAGTGGTTATACAAAGTATTAATTAAGTATGTGTAATATATATTATATGGTGATGACTGGTGTACGTCAAGCGTATACTATACGTCAGGTGATTTAGCCGTTAGATGTACTTAGATGAGCTCCGGCCGATCTCAACGGTTAATTTTTGTTTTTCATTAAATCAAACTTCGGGTTGGGGTTTAGAAAATCGGAGCCTGGGGTTTATCCATTAGAGGTTAGGGTATAGTATCATATCCCAAACTCGGTTTAATTCATGGTCTAGATAGAGATATCTCACTAGTAGTACCTGGCGTATAGTATACGCCTGACGTACACCAGTCTGACCCTATATTATATATATGGTTAATTATTTAATTGGTTAATTTGGTTTGATCGGTGAGAAGTGTCTGAAACCAAACCAAACCACCTAAACCAAACAAGATAAAAAATTTATCCAAACCAAACCAATTATCAAAATTAACCAAAACAAATTATTCAAATACTACAGGTTAAAACAGTTACCACGGTAACCACTCCGTTTGAACACCCCTATTAATAATTCGTGGTGGAACGTATCAACGGTGCAGTACAACATAATTGTTAATTAGACTTCAAATAACTTTTACTTGGTGTTAAACCATTTAAGTCATAATAGATAGACCCTTACAAGTTACAATAATCTTAGGAATTGATCATAACTTTCATAATTTAAAATGAAAAGAGAAATAAATATTCATCCTATCCTTTTGGTAATATAAATCAAAAGAGAATTCTGTAATTATTCATTTATCCGTTTCAGCATTTGGGTCGCATATGAGCAGTATGTTACCCCAGAAAACAAAATATAAGCAAAGGAATAACGGCACTGTTCAAACGTGAGCCACACGCGCCATATCTGTCTCCTAGCAAACCAGCAAAATAAAGGAAAATTAAACATAAAAAAAAAAAAAAATTAGAAGTAAAAAAAAAAGCCCAAAGATAGGCCCACCTACCAGCCGTCCAAGCACGGCAACTTGCATCTCTGTCCTTTGAACATTTTTCTGACCCCCAACAAAAAAAATTCCGCTTATAAATATCCCGTCGGCGTCTCTTTTCGATTCAGAGGAAAAAAACCACACGGCAGCCGAATCCCTCCGCCGATCAAATCTCTCTCTCTTTTTCTACCTTTCTCACTCCAGATCTCTGGCTCGGCCGATTAAATATGCTATTCAATTTGAAGTCCTGGTCGAAGACCGTCTACGACGAAGAATTCGATGAGCAAGAAGCGGCGAATCAGGTGGTGGTTCGTCCGTCGCCGGAAAAATTAGCGATAGATCAGGAGACAGGGGAGGAGCCTTCGCCGGCGCCGCCGACGCCACCAGAGAGCGCGAGCAGCTCTTCTACCGACGACGGTGGCGGAGGCGGATGGTCGACGTCGCTGACGGTGTGGAGAAAATCACTTGTAATGAACTGCCATGGTTTCACGGTGATAAATTCCGACGGAAATCTCGTCTACCGCGTGGATAATTACTGCGGCCGCCCCGACGAACTCACCCTCATGGACGCCGCCGGGAAATCCGTCCTCACAATGCTTCACCACACTAAGGTACCACCGTCCTCTCAGTCAAATCACGCTTTTTTCACTTTTTCACCTTTACATGATTAAAGAAACGCGGACGAATCGCTTTAAGAAAGTCTTGGGGAGAAATTTGCTGAATTCCTAGCAAATCTAATCGGTCTAAAGCTGTTCTCATAAAAAATAACGAGTCTAAAGCTCTTGACTCAGATTTATTAAAGTATCATATATAAATTTTTTCCAATTATTAGGATTAGTTGGTTTGTGGCAAAGTATCAAAATGATTGTATAGAGGTTTTGTGTTCGAATTTCGATGAACTTCTTACATACGTATTTGTATAATTTTGAAGCTCGTACATGAACAAGTTTCCACTTAAATGGATGTAAACAATTCAAATTATTGTGAACCGTTAGTTTATGACATAGTTAAAACATGATTTAACCGATTTAATATGATAGTTATTGTTTCTTTGTCGTCTAGCTAGATTCGATAAATTGGAGTATTGGGCTAATGTATTTTGAATTTTGATCAATTATCGCAGAAGTTTGGGCTGGTGGACAGCTGGCTAGTATACGAGGGGGACGCGGAGGCGGCGGTGGTGGCGGGGCAGAATCCGGCGGCGGAGGCGGTGAGATTCGTGCCGAAGAAGCCGATGTGGTGCGTGAAGAAGCAGAAGGGACTCCTGCTGTCGGCGGGGAACAGCGGCAGCAGCAGCAGTAGTAAAGGTAACGCGGTGGCCGCTTACGTGTACAAAGGGAGCTCGGGGAAGAGGAATTGGTCGTACGCGATCGAAGGATCGTACGGTCAGCGATCGTGCAAGGTGGTGGAGTACGAGTCGAGGAAGGAAGTGGCGGAGATACGGCGGAAGGAGGCGGCGGTCGGAGGGGTTTCGCTGGGGGCGGAGGTGTTTGTTCTGTCCGTACGGTCAGGGTTCGACTCCGGCTTCGCCATGGCTCTGGTTTTGCTTCTCGATCAAATGTTCTCATGATTTTTTTTTTTGGTATTCTTATAATTAATAGATTTTTCTTGTGTACAGAAGTCCTGCGGTAATGTATTGATTAATCTGTTGATCAAGTTGTGAGTTGATTAAGTGTGTAATAATGGTGATTAGCTTAAGCTAGCCGTGGGTAGAATGTGGAATGAGAGAGAGAGAGAGAGAGAGAGAGAGGTCACGGGCCATATATCCTTGTGATGAAAAGCTAGTGGGGGCGGGCAATTTTGTTCCATCGAATCTGATTGATACTGCAGTTTAGTTTATTTGTCATATAAATACAAGATTTTGGATTTTTTACTTGATTATGAATCACAGGGAGATCGATCCAGTGGTTGTTTTTCTTCTTCTCTCTTCTTTGTTCGAATAAATGGAAAACATTTATTAATATTACGTAGGTTGTGATGGTAAGAAAGCTTGGAATGTCCAAAGAAACTCTTTGAATGATAAAAAGTCAAATAACCAGCTGGTAATTATGGTTGCAACAAGGCACCGACGACTTAGTTGTAATAAATTGAAATCAACGGACTTGACATTAATATGAACAAACATTTTTTTGTTATACTTTGGATTGTCAATTTGTTGTTATCGGTTTTTTGTACTATTTCGGTTTTTATTCTCGAGAATGATATCTGAATGGTATATAAAGATTTTTTACGTAAGGGAATGATATTGAATCTATTCTTTACCGCTCCCAACTAACCCGTGGGATTTTGCACGATATTAGAGCATACGGTCGAAATTGTAGCTTCTACTCATCTTAATTCTTGATATTATTAGCAGTTGATTTAAACACAACGTATTATAAGGAATTATATTAGACTCATTCGAAAACCTCGATGTACATCCTACCCTTAGTTAATTACTTTTTAGTTCTTACCAATGTCTCATGTTGAAAAACAATTTGGGTATTATTCGATGAAGCAAAATTTTGTGTGGCTAATAGGTGAATGACAGGTTTTTACCTTGTTCGAATTTTCGGCGATATGTCCCGACACACCTACATATACCCAATGACGTTTTTGGATTAATTTATGGTATTATGGAGAATTCAACAAATTGTCGTTTTACTGCTGACAGAAAACAAGAGGCGTGCTGTCATGGGAATTTCTAGTTTGACGTTATATGGTATATATATAAATATAATATAGATAAAGGAACTCATTAATTAATTATCGTTAACTTAATCTAATTAAATGTTAATCCGGCTGGAAAGGATTGGACGTACGTTTGACTCAGCAAGCAACTTCTTGTGCATTATCGCCCAATCCACTGAGTTGTGAGTTCTCTCCTTGTCCAGCTATTTTCAATCTTGTCAGTGGATCGCACCGAAGTTTCCGCTTCCTTTTTTTTCCACAACAGCTCCCAAGCATTTAATCCTTGATTTCCTTTCACTAAAATTCATTTATTTAGGGTAGGGATGACATTAGGTCGGCTTCAATCGATCAGTTTCTCCAAATTTAACGGGTGTATCGTCAGACAAATCCGGTAAAATACCAGGAATAAGTTTAGGAAGATGAAACTCGATCCAACTTTACAGATACCGTAGATAAATGAGTACACATAAGTTCACGAATAATTCATCTGAACATGCACTTTCGCGAACACTTTCGTTTTAAGTACGTAGGTATCTTCTAAAGCTGTCGTCCACTCCACCAGTGGCCGCGCTTTTGCAGTTCCGGTTCTTCCTTTTCTTTTCACTCCCTTAGCTTCGTGATTTTCGCATGCAGCTCCTCCTTTAAACTTTAAAGCAAAAATCAACGCATCCAACAAATAAGAAGCTCAAAGCAAAAATAAAGAAGGGGGGAGCCCAAAGAAGCAGTGTCTACTAGTGAATGTTCTTTTGCCCTTTCATTTTGGCACTTCTATTTCGGCTCGTGGCAATTGAAGGATAATAACATGTCTTTCCAACGAGAGATGTAGATGCAAGTTACCACCCGTAGGAATTAGGAAACATCCTTTTTGTTTCCTTCCGATTGTCTTGGGCGAGACCTGTTCCAGCCGACTCTACAAGATGTTTCGTTTTCTATTGATTGTTAATTAAGGGTGTCCATCTATAATCATGAATGGGTGTCGCGATCGCGTTAAGATTGCCAGGAGACACTTGAGAATAGTTAAACAAGGCAAGAGAATTCTATGTCAAGAATTACTTGATATCGATCACTATACGAGATCGTCGAGGTTTGAATATAATATCTCTCAATCAACGGAGATTTTGATATCATTTCATGAATCAATTGCTTGCAATAATTGGAGTTGTTTGTTAAAAAGGAAGCATACCCGGAACTTGAGTCCCTTGTATAGGAATGCACAACCTAGAAGAGATCTTGTAATAATGTAATTAACATTGCTCTGTATACTTAAAAGTTAAAACTCGTAATTTTATCTAACACAAACAATGAAACCAATCAACTGATTGTGCTAATCAGGAAATATTGTTAAACTAAAGAGAAAGAAACAGAAAATATAACTAAAAACAACCAATACACTCTAAACGTATGTTCCGAAAACAACGATCGATGGATCCCAAGCCATGAATCATCCCAAGACTCACATTGCACAGCGACGACACTCTGCTGACAAAGTCAACCAAACACTCAAAAAACAACCATAAATTCGCCCATAAAAAACACAACAAAAGCCCTAGCACAACAACAATATTAACAAACATAAGAAGGCAAAAAACACCATAAATATAAAAACCTGTAGCTGTAGGAGATGTTGAATATTTATTCAACTACGGCAAAGAATTCTTCTGTCAAGTTAATTGGCATGGTTGTGCTTGTTTCATTCTTAATCGGAACGCATGTACGTACTCTACATATGATGTGGGCATTTGTCTAAGGATAATGTAAGATAACATAGATTTGCATATATTAATTGGATCAAGGATTGTTGTTTTCGGTGTTCTTTAGCGGTTGTACGTAGTTTTTATCCTTGGACAAAAGAACAGGTGAATTGATAAGATTATTAAAACCTTATTAGATATATGTTCGTAAATGTTCCACTAATCTAATCCCTAGTTTTAACTTTTAACTCTAGGGTTCAAGAACCAGAGCAAGTACAGCTGAGATATGGTTAATTAACTCGAGGATAAATACTGTACAAATAAATAAACGTGTGTGTTATTGAACCAACTTACTGGCTTCGCTTTAGGGTACACCCTTTTTCTGATGTGTAGAAGAAACAGAGTCTCAAAATCCTTAATTTTATCATTAGATTACTCTCCAAATTCTCCCGTCATGCAATTGTATAACAATTAACAAAAAATAATAAGATTTATGAAAGATCATCTACAATTTACATGTATAATTTTATTTCTGAAATTACAAATCTGTTATGGTTATAAGAATAAAATTATGAATAGAGTAATATGTAATTCTATATTGTATCATCACATTAACCAAAGGTCGATGATTAAATTTTAAAAGTCGACAATTATATTCTAATTTTTGTGGTTGGTGCATTCTATACGCTCGTAAAACACGAATCACGAATGTACTCTAGACACGCCTTTTAGTTAAAATTATTTATGATAAGGGAGACCTTTATGAAAGAGGGTTTTTTCCAAAAAAAAAAAAATACAAGACTTTCTAAAATGATTCTCACAATATCACACTTACCCTAAAAATTTTCAATAAGCTTGTTCACTTGACAATGTAATGAACACCGTAAACTTGTTTATTTTGTGAAACTTTAGTATAAGTGTGGTATTATGTGAATTGATTTAGTAAATCTTATATTTTGGGGGGAAAATGCTATGAAACATCTGATAGCAAAAGATAGAAAAATGTGTGGGCCTTAACATATTATATTCCGAGTCAAAGCATTTAGGTGAAATTGACCACTTGATGGCTGGCTGGAGGTGAAATTTCGCTGAGAGAGGAAAGCTGTAATTTCGTGAGGCGAGCGCCAGCCCATGCACACTGCTATTTTGTTTTTTACCCACCCCATCGGCAGGCAGGGCGCTGACCAGTAAAACTGCTCCTATAGCAAATCTTTGAACGTTGATAAAGATAATTCCTAACAATTAATAAGTTGCGATATTATGAACGAGTTTATTTTTTTAATTATTATTGTGGGTGAAAAAGTTAAACCAATGTGCTGTGTAGTTGTTACCCATAATATGCTTCGTTTCATCATCCATGACTACTGCCCGAATCTCTTAATAAGCTTGGAAAAGTTAATTAGGTTATTAAATCTGGAACTTTGTTGGTATTATGTTTAGTTCATAAACTTTAATTAGTTAATGTAATGTGTTTTAGTATCTAAATAATCTATAACTTTTCAGATCATAAGTGTGAAATATTTGGTCAGATCGGGAAATCGATAATGGAAGAAAGTAAAGATTACACAAATCTATGTGTTTCACTAACACAATGTGTGTTAGTACACGGGCAGGTAAAAGTCAATTTTGCTATACTTGAGGATATACAAATTGTAGAGAGATTGAGAAATATGTGTAGTAATTCTCCATACACGGCCTAACCTAAGAACACTTCTACTATGCTTTAAAGTACAATATGAAGTTGTACCATAACGTTAAAGGTACAAATTGAAGTAATATGAAGGTACAACTTAAGTTTGTACCATAAAGGGATTTTACAAAAGAGTATATGTACAAACAATTTAAAGTTGTACCATAACGTTAAAGGAACTTCAAGTTGTACCACAAAGGGCTTTAAAGCATTGTAAAATTCCCCACTGACCTTAATCCAATATGGTTGAGAATAAGGTAATAGATCCCGTTATTTCCCGTCGACTACTGATAATCCGATTCAAGTCATATCAATAGGTCACATACTCAACGTCTCAAACCATACCATGTTGTGAAATATAGAATCTAACAAACTTATTAACTATCAATAAGCCAAATCATAAGCTATAAATCGATTTGCTATTGATTCGTTAGTCAAGCGGCTCGACTACCGTACTGTCGAGCTAGCTAATGAGTTCAAAATAAATCAACTCAACGAGCCACCGAATTGAACTACCTTATAAGTCTCACAAGTTAAATAAAGACCTACTCGTTTAATTTTGAGTCGAACATCAAATTACTAAGCGGCTTGACTCATTTGCCGCCAATATGATATATGTAGTATATTTGGCAGCCAGTTAGATTAGACTAGATGCCGATGCTACTTGGGAAAAGTTGGACCAGCAGTCTTATTTTATATGGTCTATAATGCACTTCATAAATAGTTTGGCGGGCAATTAAATGAAGAGTCGGCAAGATAAAATAGAACACGGAAAATAAGTTGGGTTATTAGAAATTAATGAGCGAACCAAACCAACCACATAATTAATAGTTTATTTCCATGGCCATGCATGAGAGTGACTCCTAATTAATAGCTAGTGCCTCGGTTTCTACCTTTTCTCCTTCCAACAATTTTTTTTTTAACCAAGAAATCTGGGAGTTTACCTGTTTGATGAGGGTCAAGGTTGTCAACCCGCAGGTTGACCCGGATCCGGTCGAGCTAGTGGGTCAAGGGTTAATGGGTAAATCGTTTTAGCCCGGTTTGGCCCGGAAATATGGAAAAAGTCATTATATTGTACTTATCCTCATAAATTATATCAAATCTTATCTAACATATGAGTTATAACATATAATATTACACCAAAATAACATATCGTACTTAGATCCAACATATAATGAAAATTCACACACATTATATAACATAAATATTCAAATGTTCAACATAGGATTCCAAAGATTGAGTTGGGCGAAAAGAAAAATCGGAAAATAGGCGCATTTCGCAAATCAAAGGAAAAAATGACACAATTTAACCTCCAACCCTGTACCTTATAGCGGTCGGCCCGACGGGTGCGTGCGACCCGTTTTTCTCATCGGGTCAGGGTCAAACTGGGTCGACCCGTGGGTTGACAACCTTGATGAGGGTCGAACACTATAACAAGTCTCAGTGAGGGTCGAACACAGGACCTGACACTTTTCGAAATGAGCGTCCACTGAAAATTTCAATGCTAAATTAAATAAGGAGTAAATTACAAATTTTAAATTTGCAAAACCCACAAAATCTCGTATGTTATTATTACCGGTAAAATTCTTATCAAGGATAATAAAATATGAAATTTTGTAGTTTTAACCGATTTCAATTTTATACCGAAACCCATACATCAAAATTCTATTGTAATTCACATTTTTTTATTTGTTATACTATTGCAAAATTAAACCATTGGCTTTTCCGTTCCTAGCCTATTGCCATCGATTTTTTCTTTCTTTGTTTTTCTTGTTGATCTCAATTTTATATCCTTCATTTTGTTGCTTACAATATCCCTTGTACTTTTCCTTAATCTTCTTGTGTGTATTTGGGACTTGAAACAAACAACCATTTCAGTTCAATCCTTACAAGTTAGGAAAACTAATACAAACTACAAAGAACTCAACCACAGCTCCAACATCTCAACGAGGTGAATCCTATTCCTTACTTTCTGCTTAATTTTTTTTTAATTTCTCCCTTCTCAACGTGAACATATTAGAATGTCTATTATGTTAATTCAAAACGTTAAAATTTTGCATTTAAACCTCATTTAACAACTCAAGAAATGAGAAAGAAAGAAAAAAAAAACTCTCCATAGACCAAGGAGAAAAGGAAGGATAACAAACCCAGCGCCGACCAGAGGGAACCTTTTTACTAGTGCCTATAAAATGGGTCTCCTTATCCTACCCTACCGTCCTATAACTTGAGCCTCGACGAAGCCAACCCAAGTATGGTTCTATTTCTATAGCCAGATACAATTGACTCACAAACAACAGGAACTGCATTCTCTGTATCCTCCTCCTGTAGTCCTGTTCCTTTCTGGGCCACATCACAGCAGCACCGACAACTTTCACTTCAGAAAGAGAATCAGTCCTCTTCCAAAAGGAACCCTCTTTCACCACTCTCAGGAATCAGGATCAAAGGAAAGAAGAAAACTCATCAAACCTGCAATTCAAACAGTACAGCAAGCCCCATTGTTTTCCAACAGGGGCATCCCATAACTGAGAGCCCATATAACATCATTATATACTACTAACCGAAATTTCTATTGCCTAAATCGAATCGCTCTACAGAAAAAGGCAAAGAATTTCCCCCCTGATGTAATCTGCTACAACTGTGGCTTGTGACTTCTTTTATGTGTTACAACACTTGCAGGTTTCAACCTATTCTCCAGGTGAAACACCTACACCTTCATACAACAAATCATTTGTTTCCCAATACCCACCCCTACACTGTGATATCCCCCTACAACAATCCCCACAATCATATTTACAAAAACCAACCCCCTGTTGGGGCTGGAGTTCACCTTGGATAGATAAAACCATTGATTCACATCAACTTACGAACCTTTGGTTGGCTGCTGCTGCCACAACTTCTCCCCAAAGCTTTGGCAGGAGGTGGCATCATGCATGTTTTCTGTAGAACGTAGGCAGCTGAATGTCTACTTCCAGTAATGGAGTCCTCGAGTGGCTTGCTGGAGGAAGACCTACTTGATTTGGGGGTAGACCAAAGCAATGAAGATCCCTTTCTAATGCTACCATTGATGTGGCCAGGGTACCTTTTGTTCTCTACAGTAGACAGCTTAGGCCTCTTGGAGGGCATCACTTGATCCATTGTGCCGCCTCTGATCATACGGTCAGATGCCACCAGGCCCACCACTAATGAAGTCGACGCTATAAATAAGTCGTGCTTCTCATTGGATTTCAACTTGCAAGCCTTCATGGCTTTCTGAGAAGGTTGCTTTGGCCATTTCATTGTTTTTTCGTGGTTTATTAGGCTTTTCGAACCATGAGCAGCAATGTCTACCAGGGTTTGAGCAGCTGCTACAAGTTTTGGACAATGTTCGGCTGTAAAGGATAAAACATTGCACTAAAATTACATTCAGTACCTAAATGTTTAGACAATCGAAAAATATCCTTCAACCACGTCAAATTTCAACAATAAGTCATTAATCCCCAACAACCCACCAACCCAGAAGCCCATTAAGCTCGCCCATCAACAATAAGTCAGTACCTAAACCTGTGAACCCATTTAACCCCAACCGTTGAACCTATGAATCCCACCCATTAGCCACCTCGACAAAGGACACAGAATTGTGCTATATAAATCGGCCAGACCAAACAGATTGGTGAGCAAAATCTATCAAAAGCCATAATGTACTATTGTATACCTTCATCCATCAAAAATCCATTATGTGTTAATCTTATACCTTCTACTTGGTAAAACAACAGGCAAAGCACGTATACAACAATCCACAAAAAACAAAGAGATAGGTGAGCAAATCAAAATACATAAGCATAAAAGTTGGGGCAGTCATTACCTTTTCCGATGGTCTTCATGTCACCCCCAGATTCTGCATTCACAAGAGAAATTACAAGAGCAAAGCCAACTGGTAAATGTTCTGTCCACATAGTAACTTCTGTAACTATAAATTAAATATTCCTCCTAAGACCCCAACCTATCATTTACCTGAAGAAACTTGGGATGTCAGAGAAGTCAAAGTTGTAGATAAACTGTGATTGCATGTACAAGACATTGATGCAGCAGCACTTCTATAATCACTTTCTAGCTTTGGGCCAGATGAAGGAACTAAGGCCTCATCATAAGCAAGAGACTCGAGGTTTGTGAAGCTAGTTGAAGGAGCACCAATACACCTAATACAGTTGTCTATTTTTGCCCATCTACCTTGGCATGTGCTCCTACTTGTTAACAACTTAGCTGAATCAGAATAGGCCCTACAATGTCCACCAAAATTCTGTGACCAAGGAAAAGGGGGCAAGCTAGCTAGGCTTGCCAACTGCTGGCCTGGACGTGGGTCAGGTGCAGTACTCCTAGAAGATGCAGCTGGCTTCCCAGCATCCTGAAGCAAAGACTCCAAGTCCTTCGATGGTCCAAGTGCCAGGCCTTGTAAAGTATCTTTAGGTTGATCAAATTGGAAATCTAGTAATTGAGCAGAAGACTCGGGCTTGCTGCAAGAATCCTGCAAGGTTAAAAGGACCAGCAATGAAGCATTCATTCAGTACCAGTACCATTCAATATCCCTTTTCTTAGAAAACAGCAAATGACTTCAAACAAAAGTTTGTGGAATACTATTCAACAAGTAGCTTACCTTATAGGAAGAAGACAAATCTGTGGGGGTAGTTTCTGCAGTATTTCCACTTACACTACGAGGGAGAGAATTTGGTGGACATATTCCTGTGGTATCATTCAAAGAGTTGTCTATCACGGTAGCATTTTGGGTTGGGAAAGGTTTAGGGACCTGAAGAATGGAACAAGCCTTTCTAAGTGATTGTAGAAGACACTCGGTGGAATTTGCTGGTTTCTTTCCCTTTTCTTTGCCTAAGCTGCGGCACTGATAAGTGCCCGAAAGGAGATCATTCAATGATAAATCATCAACAAGGTCAGCGATATCATGAACATCTGTCTTCAGACCATATAACACTGCCATCATTTCAATATGCACACTTATGAGTTCCATATGGCAAGACATGAAAGGAAGAAGAGAGAGTATACAAAGGCAAAGTAAGTTGCAAGAACACCATGTGGAAAGTGGAGGAAGTACAAGCTATACAGGAAGTTTCCTACTCGTGCACTCTCGTCACTTTTCATTTTTTTTTTTATGTCAAATAGGTTCAATTATGTATAAAACTGATTCTTCCTTCTTGAGAAAGAGTAGGATTGCAGAGAATGGAAACATTACAAGGAAAGCCAAGATCAAGAAGGATATAACAAATTGAAATGCTACTTGCAGCTTTCCGAAGGACTTGATATTATTTCCCTCATCTTCTCCATTATAAATGTTTGTTCAATAATCTCACTCCAAATTTTGAAAAAGCAAAATCAAACCCAAATATATATGAAATGCCCCACCCCCTCAAAAAAAAAAAAAAAGATAGAGACTGATTATTGCTCCCACAATTCATGAAAACAGAAATGACTTGTGTTATAACATGGTAAGCGACGATCCAAAATTAGCATAAACCATCCTTTTCACTTCTTGTACTTTCCTAAGATCTCATATACAATGATATAATGCAAGAACTGAAATGATGCAGGTTATCACAACAATTTCCATCCTACCTGAAAAGTTGTTAGCACCAGCAGTTGAACTAAAGCTTGGGAAACTGCCTTTCACTGAAAATGGATCATATTTTGCTTTCGGGGAAATCTTGGAATTTCTTCTGTCACCTCGCCTACCGCTACTGTTGTTCCTCTGTCTCGCAAATTGAGTCTTATCTGCAGCATACATACAAAACCTTGGAGTTATTAGCAAAAAGACTTCACTTTAGAAAGACTACAAGATCACATCACACAGATCTAGGACACACAGGTCTACAATATGTAATTTGTCAACAGCAATATTTATAATAGGAGTTTCAAGGAAGTATAAGCAGTCCCCTGCTATATCGTAAAAGAGTAAAATTTCTTTATCCATCAATCAAGTCCTACCCCTGTTGGTATCGTCAAGATAGCAGCACCTCTTGCAGGGTCGCTTGCGATCAATTAGAAATACAAGCACAAATCAGACAAGAGCTATACTGACTTACTCTACTTTATCACATAACACTCAGATAGCATAATCATTATCCAATCATACAAGAATTTGCTGCAGATAGGGATTTTCAAGAGAAGATTTCATAAACTGAATTACCGTGAGAGTTGCACTTTTTTAAACATGATCTCAGCTTACCTAACAAATCTTTTGTATCATCAATCCCAGTCAAACCAGCAGCATCTTCTACCAGAGATGTCCTTGGTCTTTTAGCAGAACCACTACCACCTTTTGACACTCTTCCAGCTTTTCTATTTACCTTTCCTTCGTCGCACTTCAGCAACCACGATGGACTACTCGTTTCACTACTAAAGAGGTGTTTACTTAAGTCATCTCTATGATTGTTGGATGCTTCACTATTCTTCTTACAGACTTCAATGGTTGGACCATTATTCCACGGAGCAGAAATCAAAGCATTGACTGAACTTCCTTCACCTGCAGAGTCACATCAGCTATAAAACATAAGCTTGGGAGATTTATTAGAAGAAAAAATAAACGTCAGCAAAACTATCAGCGTGCCGTTTCTGAACTTGCAGTTCACTTTCACAAATTGCAGTGTCTGAGAATTGGACTTCCCACCACCAGTCCACCACTGGCAGCCCTAATGTAAGAAGAAACTTAACCAAAAAAAAACTATGAGCGAAGACTAAAGCCTTCCTTAACTTAGCACTTAGCTCACGATCTCATACCAGCTCTCTCCTCCTTGTAACCTTGTTCAGATTATTCAACCTGTCACTTGTTCAGGTAAATCTAATAAACCCTCTATACTGCAACGCATAACCCCAAAAAGAACAGAATTGCCTCTCGGAACATAAGATATCGAGGCGAACCTTATTGAACTCAACAAAATGTTCAATTTCTCAGAAAGCCTACGCCTAGCACGAACAGAAATAGATCCAAAACTATTCCCACCATTCAACAACCATTCTCCATGTTCAAAATCGAAACTTCAATATATCATTTCTTATGCAAGCAAAACAAGGGCAGCCCTACCTTAAGCTCACGAATTAACGGTAAATGAAAGAGTGAAGAATTTACCTGCATCACGCAGACCTCTCGCCGGCTTCACCAGAGGCTCCACTCCAAAAACCGCAACCCTATCTCTACCAACCCTCTCCGATCCGACCAATTTCGATGCCCCGACTGCCGCCGCCGCCACACCCACTGGATAGTTCAACTCGACCGCATCCATGAACCAACAGAACTAAACTTTCTCCAGAGGTAGAAGAAAAAACCGAAAGCTTCCGGCAAGCATCACTCGACGAGATCTGAGACAGCAACGTTCAGGGAAGATGAAGCCGCGGGTTGGAAGACCTGTGGTGGAAATTGAGACGGCGAATCGACGATCTGGAAGAAGAGCGGGAGAGCAGCGGGAGTGGAAATGGATTGCGTTGACAGAGGACGCTTGTCGGCGGCTGAGAGACTTGAGAGAGGGGGCGAGAAGAAGAGAGGGGCGTGCAATCTCTAGGGCAAGGAATTGGTGGTTAGAACTTAGAAAGAGAAGTATTTATAGTTTTCGGGATTTGGTGACGTTATGTTCGGGATAACGCCCGACGGTGGGAATATCCCCGCCGACGGTGAAGGCCGGCAGCGTTTCTACAACGCCTGGGGGTTGTTGTTTGAGGGCGAAATGGTCTTTTGAACCTATTGACGTCGGCTTATCCAATCAGAATAGCTGATGTTGCGGGCCACACGCACCCTCAGCGCGTGGAATTCCTTCAGGCGATAGACAATGAGGAAGAGATGCAAGTGAGATCAGTCAAAGAAATATCCTGACATTTTTCTATTTAGCAAATGACAGTAATACCCCCTCAGCGAAATTATATTGGGGTTAATAAATGCTTCAGTGGTCATTTGATCTTTAAGAGTTAACACCATAGTCATTAGTTTCTTCACATTTTAGTTACACTGTGCTTTGAGAGTTTTTTTAGTCATACTTTCTCGATACGTATCAATCCTTTGCTATACTAGGCATCTTCGTGCTAGCTTCCACCGAATCACAAAAAATGAAAAATGAATAAGATGGGTCGTAAGTTAGGACAATTTTCAATAAAATTAATGGTTAATTATGCTATATATTAATTTGATAACACAAAGCTTCTTTTCTTTACTATCATTGGTAGGGGTGGGAAACGGTGCGATTGCGATTAACTGCATCGCAATTCGCGATTAATTGCAACCGCAAAGTACCCATATTCACCAACCGCAATCGCACCTTGTATGGTTAGCGGTTAACCATTAACCGCGAAACATGATTCACGGTGACCGCGGTTACAGGAGGTAATAACCGATTTAACCGCATCAGTGTGACTAACCGTGGTTAAGCAAAAAACCGCAAGGGACGGCAGCGGGGCAACAGAGCAGATGTGGAGACTGGAGATCGACGGTCGACGAGTAGAGTCGATGTGGAGAGCGACGAGCAGAGAGTGCAGCCTGAGTCAGTGAACAGAGCAGGTCGACGAGTAGAGAGGCGATGAGAAGAGCAGAAGCAGATGCGAATGGAGCAGAGTAGAAGAGCAGGTCGAGACTCGAGCCTGCCGCTGGAGGGCGACAACCGGTAGTGACAAGGGACGACAATCGGGGGATTTTCTGGTCGTCGGTCGACGTCTCCACTCTCTCCCCACTCTCAGGGCTCTCGACGGCGAGAGATTAGGGTAACTGGGTTAGGGTTTTCAGTCTTTTCAGAGTGGGAAATGGATTTGCGATTCGCAAAGCCAAAGTGGGAAAGTGGGGGGAAGGGGTCGGGTTGGGCTGGGGGTGGGGGGGGGGGGTTGGTGTTATGGACTGGACTGGATTTTTCGGTTAGCATTGCGGTTAGAGTTATTTGCAGTTTCAGTTAAACCGCAAACCGCAAAACAACCAATATCTCCAACCGCGATCGCAAAATAGGCTGTTTTTGCGGTTAACTAATAACTGCGCGCTTTCGGTGCGGTTATCGGTTAAACCGTAAAACTGCAACAGTTTTTAACTAGTTTGTACTAAGTAATAAGTTATGTGATAACTAGAGGTGGCTATTTGGTCTAGGCTTTTTGGTTTTACCCGAAACTGTATAACTCGGATCGAGACCAGACCTGGACCGGATTGCAAACAATCAAATCCCATCTTCGGGTGTAGATTTGAGGTAAAAAACTGTTCAGGACCGGACCGAAAACCGGATAAAGACTGGAATAGAGAGCCCAACACCCAAAACTTAAATAACTCCTCACCCTTTGAGGCATCAGGCCACTTAAATCCCCACCAGCTCAATCTAAAATCAAGACCGAATTGGGATCGGACCGGGTTAAAACCGTACTTTATCTAATCCAATATTTGGTCCTTATATTCTTAAAAAAAACCAAATTTAACCGGACTGTATCGTATAACATCCGAGTGATAACCAACAAACAAATTATTCAATTCTGTAACTCGACCGAGTCAGGAAAGGGAAACACAGAAACATACTTGGGGAGAGAAGATTCACGACGAGGATGGCCGGAAAGGTTGCGCAACCGCTGGTGCCTCCCGCCACCGGGCTGACTGTAGGAGAGGAATCCACACTGTCGGCGTCGTTGGTGAACTCCTTCAGAGTAATAGCTGTAGTCGATAGATTGGCCTTGCATCTGCAACCTGGCCGAGAAAATAACTCCAGCGAGTTCTTCGGCCTCTGCCTCTCCCTCGCTCGGTACGCAACTCCGTCGCTACTTACCGGATTCCCCCCCAAAAAACTCTGTTTTCGCATTTCATATCGAATTTTCATATACTCTGCGTTAATTTTGGCTGTTGAGTTGCTAATTCTGGACATGGGCTGCCTAACAAGTAAAAAAATTTGTGAGCTTGAGTTCATGTGCTCCTGGGATTCAATTGAAACTTTCCATTCTCCATTTGGAAACCCAGTAAATAGTTGTTTTCTGTGTTTGTGGTGGCTTACGGTGCTCTTTGCTGATGTAGAGGCATTGATTATGCTGTGGCGAACAATGAGTTACCCTCCAAAGTTCAAGATCTACCTTTGCTGCTGAAACAGGTGATTCCTGCCATATGCCATATCCTCCCTGCATTAGAACACTTTAGTTTTCTTTAAGTTGCTTGAGCCTCTATTGGAGCAGAACCTGACCAATTAAGTACTGATATTCGGCCTGGCGGTTAAGTTATTGAAAGACTCTCAAATGATACTGAGTTACTGATTGGCACAAGAGATTGAGAGTACATTTGCAGTGAACATGCTCGATTCCCCTACCATAGTAAGAGTCTCAGAGTGGCGATTGCAGTCTCTGGATTATGGAAAATTTGTAGTTATTGCCGGCATTAGCAAACCATTATCCTATGATTTTTTGTTTGTTTGAAGTTATTAGTTTGTGGTTATTGCCAGCATTATCAAACCATTATGGAAAACTTAGACCTTCTAGTTGGCTTAGTTTGTCATTCAGTGGATTAACAGCCTAACAGGATTGGAGTTGGTTGTGGGACATTAGGGAGTAATGTTATGGATTAACTATCAACTTTATGCTATGTTTCCTCAATAATCAGGTATGCAGGCGCAAGAATGATCCCTTACTGGAGGCAGCTATCATGGTGCTGATGATTTCAGTCAAGGTATGCCGTAGATGCCAACAATAATTGATTCCAAGTCTGTATTGTGTTCCTTCAAAGGCCAGCTGTGGTTTATTTGGATGTTGGGAATCAAGTAATGAAGAACATTTGAGTGATCCGAAACTTGGTACTGTTGAGAGTCTATAGTATGATAACTCTTTTGCCAAAATATGTAGTGGTTGTAGGGAGGTATTAGGAGTGTACTGCAGTTCTAGCCAATTCATTCTCTTGGAACTTGCTTATCCATCGTCTCTCACTGAATGCAACTTCACTTTCCTTTTCCACTGTTTGGAGTGGCGTTTGTTGTTGTATTTCATTAGATGACTGTTCTTATCTCTGTTATTCCTTCAGAATGCTTGTAAAGTTGGGTGGTTTTCAGATCGAGAGACCCAAGAGCTCATTTCTCTGTCCAGTGAGGTTCACTCTTGTCCCTTCTCCCCACCTTCCTTTTCCCCCTCGCATTTATAAAGAAAAAAGTTTATACAAATTGGTGGACGTAATCACTATCTGGCCCTTCAATCCCCTGAGTTTTTTTGTAGATTGGGAACAGCTTTCGTAGTTTCGGAGATACACTGGATGCCTCTGGTAGTCCTCACTCCACTGTCTCTACAGTTTTATCCAGGTTAGGCCTCAAGTCATTGCTGGGTTGAAAATTCTGTCCTTGTGGTTTTTGTTCCAACATTATGGTTCCTTACTTCAATTAGAAGCTGTTCGTTTCTCTTGGTGTATAGATAAATTCAATGCAGAGAGAAAATGCTAGTTTTCAGTTTGCTTCTATTGCCAGTGTACTTTTCCTTGGAGGAGTAGGAAGATGTTTATAAGCTGATTTCTTGCTTGACCTTAGCTGTAGAAGTTCCTTGCTGTATATATCTCTTCTTCTCTAACGTGTTTGGCCATGTTAGGCCTCGTGTATAGTGGTAGTAAGACTCCATTGATTCTTATCATATGGGGTTGTTGTTGGTCTGAAATAATCGTTTGCCCTTCTCTTCCTGATTTCAATTTACACCATGTAAACTTGGAGCTGGCCATTGGCTTATCTATCAATAAAATCTTAGGAAAAACCGTAACATGATCTCCCCTCACCTCTTCTGTTAAATTATTTGCTATATCTTGTGAATGTTCCGAGATGTTTGAACTGATACCCTATTGAAATTGGTCAAGTCGTTATAATTCATTGCATGACTCTTAATCTTTTGCAACATTGTTGACCACCCCACATGCTCTCTTAATAAATGCAGGTACTATCCTAAGATGAAAATGGGAGATATTCTTGTTTCCCTTGAAGTGAAGGTGGTTCTTACTTTTTGCTTCTTGTTTATAACTTTATATACAGTTGAATCCTACTTTGCAACTGGTTTAATCAACTCCTTTCCGTCTTGTAGCCTGGTTTTGGGGCATATGTTCAGGATTTTCATATCTCAAAGAAGTCAAACCATTCCCCCCATGAAAAAATAGTGAGTAAATTTTATTCCATCCCTTGGGTTTAATTAATTATTTGCGAATGCTGCTGAATACTGATTCAACATGTTCCCTGCAGCGACTGTTTGTGGCCCAGACAGATGGCATGGACACATCGGCTTGTATTATAAGTCCACAACAAGTGAAGTATGCATAGTTTTTCGTTCATTTCCTATAGCCTTAGTTTCTGGTACATATTGTCATCTTTGACCTCAACACTTTTGTAGCTTTCTATTGAATGGAAAAGGAGTCGATAGAAGAACCAACATTCAACTGGTAAGTAAAGATTATTGGACTGGCTTGGAGATTGTGAAGCATTTGAGTGAACATCTGCAACTTAACTATTTTTCACTCCCAGGATACTGGGCCACAGCTGCCAACTAATGTGACTGGAATGCTAAAATATGGAACAAATCTTCTCCAAGCTGTTGGCACCTTCCATGGTATGCTTGGTTGCAAGGTCATAAGAGTAGTATATTATTACTATGGTTTTTACTGTAACATTGACTAACAGCTGTTTTATAGGAAATTATGTAATAATTGTCGCCTTTATGAGTACTGTGCAATTACCTGATCCGCCAGTGCTGCTAGATTATGTCCAGTCGAGTTCTACTCTGTCAGATCCAGGTACCAGCGTGTTGGAAGATGGAGAGGGATTCAAAATACATTGTTTCTTTCTGTGTTGAAGTTGCCTGTTTGTTTATGCGTATACTATGATACATTTCAGCATGACTTTACTTCTCTTGTCCTAGATTCTTATGCAAAATTTATTTTTATGGATCTAGACTCTGACATAATCGAGGGGCCTTCACGGATTTCACTTAACTGCCCCATAAGGTATGTTATGTCTTCATATTTTTAAAAATATAACTTGCTTATCCCCTAGTCTAGAACTAATCCCTTCCTTTACTTTATCCTTGGGATTCACACATTCCTAGTTACTTCTTGCAAATTGTTTAAGGGAAGGCTAGTAGCTTATTTTCATTTTTCGAGTAACTTACCCCACGTGATATTTCTGTTCTATTGCTTGTTTAATGTAGTTGTCACTATTCAATAATAAGAAATTTCCTGTTGTTAACTAGTACTTATCTCAACAGCTTTTCAAGAATCAAGACTCCAATCAAAGGGAGTTCATGTAAACATCTTCAGGTGAGTGCATTGGACTCTGCTGCTTTTCCTTGAGACAGTTGAGTCGATGGAAGCTGGTAATGTAGAATTTTCAAACCAAAAGCAGAGCAACGTAGTACTATAATTATAGATGGACTTCAAGACTGAATTTTTCTTGTTTCTGACATTTTGCATTTTCTGCTTATTTCTCATAATTTATCTGAGCTTCTATTTTGCTAATACTTCTGTATCAGTGTTTCGATTTTGGAAACTACGTTGAGATAAATTCAAAGCGACCATCTTGGCGCTGCCCACACTGTAATCAGAATGTCTCTTACGCCGATATTCGCGTCGATCAGAACATATTTAAGGCAAGTAACTTTGTGCCTAATTCTCCTGTGTTTATCTTATCAACATTCAAATTTGAACTTTCCAATCATGCCATTTCCAGGTATTAAAAGAAGTGGGGGAGAATATCACTCATGTGAACATATCAGCCGATGGATCTTGGAAGGCTGTCATGGAAACTGATGATAACGGACCTCAGGCACCTCCAAGACAGAGAGAAACTCCTGAGCAGCCAGAATCCTCCAATGCGGAGTCACCTGCCACTCCCATGATTCTGGATCTTACTGAAGGCGATGATCTAATGGACGAGTTATTAAGCAATTGTGACACTGAAGAGCATAAACCTTCTCCGGCTTCTTTTCTTGGTCAAACTCTGCCACATTTGGACGATCACTCTACTTCTCAAATGGGAGATTGGGCCAATGCGTTTTTCCCTGCCACTACCATAACTTCCCCTGTGATAATGGATACATCTTCCACTGTGCTTAATATGGATTCCAGTGCTCAGCTTGCTCCTCTAGCAACCGAGAATAACACCGGGATGAGATATGTTGGGGTACCTGCTAACAGAGTCCCAACAGCAATTCAGGCCCTCCCAGCTACATTTATGCAGCATCAAACACCGAGAATGAATAATAGTATAAACAACGTGAACTCCACGGGCGGGTTGTCATCTGTCAATTCTAGTTTGCCTCCATCAGCATCTGCAAGTGGTTATACTAATGACATGTTCCAGCGGTTCTCTAGATCCCAGACTGCTCTTCCTCACGTTTCTGGGCTTGCTTCAGCTATGCTTCGTCAAACTCCATTGCAGGTTAGGTATCCCTATTCTTTACCAAACTTAAAAGGGTGTGTTTGTTTCGTCTAAAGCTTTTAGTTCATTGAACTTGGCTTCGGGAAATTATTTAAACACCTTAGTCACCTCATCCATGAAATTTCGTTTGTAACTTTACCCCGATTGAACTTTAAGAATTTGTCCTTGAAGTTATATTTCTATAATAGTCATTTCCCCTACTACACTATTTCTTTGTTATTGAACTATTTATCATCTTATCCGTTGCTTCTTTTTTACTAAGCTTGTCATTCCAGCAACTCCATTTTTTAGGGAACTTATTTTTCAGAAAAGCTGAAACCGATGCCCTGGGTTCCTGTCCAACCTCTCATAGATGGGATGGTGCTTGATTTTTTCGATACCTGACAGTCTTTGTTTGCAGAACGTGAACCATCAAGCAAGGTACATCAACAGTCCAAGTCCTCGTCCAGCTGCTGGTTTAACCTCTGGTTCGCTCCCAGGTGGTCAGAGAGTATCATCCTCATCCACGTCTCTTCCCCGTCCAGCTGCTGGTTCAATCCCAGGTGCTCAAAGAGTATCATCATCACCCACACCTCTTCGGATGCCTTCACCCGCAAGTCATCCCACTATTGTCCGGACACCATCTCCTTTATCACGAGCTTCAACTTTCCAAGCGGCTCAAGCCAGCAGCTCTGTTCCACGACCACAAGCCAGGCCGGTGTTGGCGGGTTCCCAGCAGCAAGCAGCAGCATCACCCCATATGATACCTACTAGACAGCCTCCAGTAGTCCCGGTTCAAATGCAATCAGCCCGAGCTCCACATGTCGCACATTCTCAAACAGCTACTCCTACAACATCCTCACCTACTGTCCCATCAACCGAACAGAGCTGGCGGCCAAGTGGCAAAATGCGTGGAAGTCTGCAAGGTCGGAACATGGACGAAATTATGAGCTTGCTTCAGACCACCCAACAGACACCACCCGGAGGAACACCGTCGAGTTCTATGCTGTCTGAGGCCACCATAGCACCGCACCTTCGGGGTCTATTCGATAATAGCCCAAGATAAGCTAAGATATTTAATGTACAGAGAGCATCGGCTGTTCTTTTCGTGAGCTCCAAAGTCCTTGTAAAGTTCCACAGCCAAGCAGTTGACTCGTTACGTTGTTCACTTAACTTAAGTTTGATTTGGAAGATTTTAGTAGTATGTTTATTGTTGTCGACTCGTTATGCTAATCTCTAGCTCCAGTTTGATATATATATGCATATCTATGATAAAAGGAAAAAAAAAAAAACAACCCCAACTCTGGTCCTCTTTAACAATGCTAAACATGACAGCTGATGAATCTGAGTAAAAATAAAGCCAAAGCCCAAAACAGATAGAAGCATGAAAAGTTTGTGTCATTCTGTGCACTGTGATTCCTTTCCTTCTAACATATAAACTACGGTTACATCTACTAGGCAGAACTGGAGAAACCCTCCAAAGAAGTTTTGAACTCAGTAAGGTTGTGGATCTCCAATCTTTCACAAAATCACATAACAGGGGAAAGGAAAACCGAATAGAAAAAAGACCCCAAAATACAGCTAAGGCAAATGAAATTTCTAGTACTCCCACTTCTTCATCTCCATGCCATCAGGTGCGCTGCCTTCTATCTTCTTCGCACCCACTTCTTTCCAGTCTGTTGACAGCACTGTCCCATTCGACTCCACCTGTTGCAGGTTCAAAAGATTCACATCAACTGACCATTGCACATGGCAGTGAAAAAGCACAATGAAGGTTGATCGTTAAACTTACGAAAGATTTGCTCATAGCCCTTCTCATGTCCTCATCGGCACTTGAGTAGATCTCCCTGAAAAACTTGTTCAATGCAGCATCACCATCTAGCTTCTCATCTTTCTCCTGCAAAATACCAAACATTATTACGGTTTTACCAAGTGTTGACTAAAAGTTCCGGAACGTTGTTATATACAAGTATAATACATCTGTATCAATACAGGCAGCTACTTACTTCCTTCTTAACTAGTGCTTCCAACTTATCCCAATCTTTGCCTCGAGATTTTGATGATGGGTATGCCGGCCTCTGAGAGACAACTACACATGCAAAACAAACATTCAACAGCATCAATTAATAAACATTGCTTTTCGGATCTGAATATATGATAGTTCGTACCTAAAATGAAGGATATGAGGGAGTCAGAAGCATGATTCATTACCTGAAGATGCATTTACTTGCTGCACGACTACAGCATTATTCCTATACTCGAGAGATATCCACTGAATAGGTTCAGCTTTGGCAAGGCGGATCTCGATCTTGGTAGTTAGCACCTGATATCTGCACTTATCTGGTAGCACCTATAGCCACGGAAGGAACAGGGGAAGTTAGTTACAAGCAAACCCAAGACAAGTATGTATAACTCTGCAATCTGATTCATAATGGGAAATCACATGAAAAGAATCTAAATGCTGCAATTAGTTATCATACTTTGGCAAATAGTCGGGGTTGAAGTTGGTAACTCTCTTCGCCAGGAACATCAATTGTCACACTGAGCTGAAATATCGCGAACAAATTAAACGCAGCACATTAGCAAATTGAGCCAAATAAAATTTACGAGCTACTAGTACAAGGTCGAGCAATTAGTCATGTTCAATTAAAAAGAAATGACGAACTTCTAACGTACAATCTGATCACCAAAATCGACAGTGACATTCTCTGATTGGATTCCCTTGGCAAATATTGTTACAACAACTTCCTCAGCTTTCTGGTAGTATTCATGCCTGTTCAACAACCACTACCGATCATGAGCACAACAAAGAGTAGAATGTTTGCAGAAAGCAGTGATTACTGAAAAGCAGAATTTCTCTTTCTGCCTTTATCAGATAATTAGCTGTACAGAGTAAGACAATGCGTTGACACATGTTGTACTCCTATATGCTTGACAACTAGGAATATAACAGATCGATATATACCTAACTAGCTACACATTGAACAATGTGTTTGGGATATTTCTTTATCTTCAACGATCCCAAAAAATTTGGACAATTCAACGTATTTACAAATGCAAAAATGTTGATTCTATAAAAGATCCTAAGGCACCATAATAACTTGGGACAGGGCATGAAACTAACACTACTTACCTATACTTGGGCTTGGAGGGGATTGCATTCACCTGAGGTGAAGCAGCGGAAGCGGATGCAGATGCAACACTTGTTGGGGGCGGATTATTTGGAGCTACAGAATGGCTGAGCTCATTGGATTCATCTGAAATAAAAGCAACATACGCACATATACCATACATAAGCATCATATCAGGGTTTTTACGGGAATGAAGAACCCAGATGAACGTATTTGAGAAACTAACACATACTCGCAATACTTTGATTGCACTCTTCGATCAACTTGGTAAATCTCTGATCTCCTTGATCCAAGGTAGCACCAATCTCAAGTGCTGCCTTTGCTGTTTGATATTCCTCAAGCTTAATGCAGGCAGTGCTGCATCATAAAGCAACCAATAAGACTGATACTATTCCACGCTGAATGAGGAGTTCAATGCAGCACGCAAATTTGGCAATTTGATGGGCAAGAAACATGAAAGTTCACGCCATAAACAAGTCTATATGCTCATACCCTTTACGCAAATATGCCTTCACCATCGAAGGATTCAATCGAATCGCCCTATTTGCATCAGCAACAGCCTCTGTTCAAAACAAACCACAATTCCATGAAGTCCTCGAGAAAACATCAAGTCAAAACACTGCCCCTCCAACTCACACCAAATTCCCAGCGTCCATGTTACGACCTCAAGACCTACACACTAGCTGTATATTTAAAGAAGGAAAATTACAGTAATCAAGCTCCAGTACCAGTAAAGAGACTGAGTTTGATGTTGGCCTGAGCCCTGTCTGCGAAGTAATCCGCGTTGTTAGGGTTCAAATCGATGGCTTTCGAGTAGAAATCAACCGCCAGCTTAAAGTCGTCGTCCAAGAACGCTTCCTTCGCCTTCTCCGATAGTTCTGCCGCCATTGTTCAATTACCTTCTGTCAACAAGATGTGCGCCCAGGGTAGAAAACGGAACGGATTTATAGGAAGCAAATTGGCCGTTTCCTCAGCGGATTTTGGACTTCTGGTCTAGAGACTTCGACTTTGGCAGCGGAGACGACGACGGCGATGCGGAAAAGGAGTAGGATCCCCGGGCTCGGTTGGGTTCAGCCCAGGCTCGCCCAATCCTGATTGGGCCAAGGTTGGCTCACTTTTGACATGGGCTAACTTGTTGGGCCAACTTGTTAAACGGGTTTTCGGCTAGTTTCAATAGCCCCTGTGAGTCTCGATTTGAGCTCTCTCTCCAGTCCCAGAGTCCGGCCATCCCCGCAGTTCCAGTTCAGAGTCGGGACTCGGAAGTGAACCCGATTCGAAACTTCTCGCCGACCAAAAACAACTCGGTCGCTTAACTCAGTCATAGATGCACCTGGAGCTTTGGTCGGATTATGAAGTGCCGATCCGTGGCGTGTCTATGGCCGATCACGCCGCCGAGTCACAGAATTACTGCCGCGGCGGTTCTGAACCATCCCCCGACGCTCTACACCGGCGGATCAGATGGCTCCATCATCTGGTGGACACTCTCCACCAGTGAATCCAACTCGGTAATTCATTGAAGCTTCACCTCTATTCCCAGGATCATCGACGCAAGCTCGTTATCATTTCGTTGCACATTTTGAGTTCATAGAAGTTGTAGAGTGTTGTTTGTGAATTTTAGCTTCTTGAGTGAAATTCTATCTTTCCTTTAGTTGCAATTTGGTTGTTTGAAACTTTCCTCGATTTCTGATGGTGGGTTCTTCACATTAATGCAATTCAATTTTGGCTGTAGTTTAGTGATGTAATGCGTATTTGTGACGGGTATTGATTGGTTATCAATTTTTTTTTTACTTTGTAACTTGTATCCAGCTCAATAGATTTGCTTTACTTGGCAGGAAGTTAAACCTGTTGCGATGCTATGCGGTCATGGTGCACGGATTGCTGATCTGGCTATTTGTCATCCTGTTGTTTCTCTAGATGATAAACGAACAGACAACTCTAGTGACGATGCTACCAGTTATGGTGCCTTGTTTAGTGCATGCTTGGATGGTGTGTTATGTGTATGGAGCAGAGGTAGTGGACACTGTAGAAGAAGAAGGAAACTTCCTCCTTGGGTTGGAAGTCCATCCATTATTCGCACCTTGCCCACAAGTTCACGGTATGTATGCATTTGTTCTGTTGATGCTGCCCACTCATCACCTGGTCATTCCACTTCGGTGGAAGGGAGCCAGCCTCAAGTGGATGAGGATGTTCACCATTCAAAACCCACAAAGTGTACCGTAGTAGTTGTTGATTCATATAGTCTTACGATTGTGCAAACTGTATTTCATGGGGTTCTATCAATTGGGCAATTAAAGTTTATGGACATAGTTCTCTCAGGAGAGGATGGAGAGACCCATTCTGTTTTAATGGCTGACTCATCTGGAAAGGTGCAATTGGCTCCTATTCTAAAGGATTCACCCGCAGATAGTAAGGTAGAGACTGCCTTGGACAAGAATTTACTGTTTGAGGAAGCTATTTCAGGGAATGGGTTGGGTGAAGGAGGAGAGGTTGTCTCGGTTGCAACTCATGGAAACATTGTGGCTCTTGTTTTACAAAATTGCTGCTTATTTAGGCAGTTGACAAACAATATCACCATAGGGCAAATATCTTTTGTTGACCAGCTGGTCTTTACTGAGGGCAATCATGTCCACTCCATTGTACTTGGGGGTACGTTTCTCAAAAGTGTAGATAGTCCTGGTCTGCAGTGTAACCAGGATAACTTTCTTGAAAACTTTGTTGTATGGAACAGTGCAGGTGCAGCTATTGTGTACCTTGTGTCATATTTGGATGACATATTCAAATGTGAACCTCTCTGCAAAGTTCCTGGTGCTTCTCATGCAGTTGATACGAAGCTAATGATATCTTTTGTTCAGTTAAAGGACCATCTTATACGATTTGAATCAGTTTGCTTTAATGTGGAGGAGCCTCTGCATTGGCAACCCCATTTTACTGTCTGGTCACTGTTGGATAAGCAAGATGAAAGAGCAGAATGGTCCAAAAATTGCCAAAAATGTGGAGAAAGTGATCCTTTTTCTGGTTGGATCTCAGGTTCCGACTCATTGTTTGAGCTGAATGGCTGCGATGGCAGGAGGACTCCAAAAAAAATTTCCCCGACCTCTAGCCCGAGTTTCAAACCTGAAAAGGAATTAAAGGATAAACATACAGGTA